TCAATTCCATGTTTCTGCCTTTTCTGTCCTACTAGATTTTTATATCCTTTTTGTAAATTCATTTATTCATTTATACATTATACATGTTCTATTGCATTAGGGATAGTCTGTGTATTTTATATCCTAGAATTAATGAAGACATGTATAAAAACATGGAATTTTTCCATATGTGTTTTTTCCTCTTCCTCTTCTTCCTCCTTCTTTTTCTTCTTCTCCTCCTCCCTCTCCTCCTCCCTCTCCTCCTCCCTCTCCTCCTCCTCCTACTTCTTTTCTTCCTCTTATTTCATCTGGTTTTATTATTAAAGTAATTTGGCTTCCTGGAATCAGCTGATCAATTTTGAATAAATATTTATAGAAATCAGCTGTCCTCAAACTACGGCCCGCAGGTGTTTGCAGCCTGCTGGGTGTTTTTGCCGCCCCTGCCTGTGCTGCTTAGCAGCCAACTTGTCCTGAGGCCCACAGTCCAGCTCTCCAACAGTCTGAGGGAGAGTGAACTTGCCCCCTGTTTAAAAAGTTTGAGGATCCCCGGAATAGATAGTATAACTTCCTTACATGGTTGGTGGAAATGACCGGTGAAGTCATCTAAACCTGGGGTTTTCTTTATGTGAAGATTTTTATCTACAAATTCAGTTTTTCTATTTCTTCCTGAGATTTGGTAGTTTGTGCCTTGTAAGAAAATTATTCATTCTGTCTAACTTGTTGAATTTTTTGGCATAATTTTGTTTATATTACTTTGTTTTCATAAAACTCTTTTAACATTCTTTTGTATTAATTCTATTATTTTTGTCATATTTTGGTCAGTTTCAATTGATTGATTTTTATCCTTTTTATGGTGAATTTTCCTACTTTGTATGCCTGGTAGTTTTTATTTAATGAGAGTACAATTAGGAAAAATATCACATACAAAAAAACCAATCAATGATAATGAAAGCCAGAGAAATTAGCTTTTATCATTAATGTGGTTAATGATGGGCAAAATGTGGATTAGTTTCTATGTAGGGAGAGATCACAATGAACAGGAATCTTCAAAAGACTTAAGACATAGATAGCATCCAAGATATACCTTGTAACCAACCATGATTTAAACAGTCAAAGTTGGTAGGGGTATTGGAGAAAGGAATTTCAGAAAGAAAGAAGAGCTTGGATCTAGGATGATATGAGAATTTTTGAGGAACATTGGCTAAATAAGTTTGCTTGGAAATTAGGATGTATATAAAAGAAGTAACGGGAAATACATGCATTTCAAAATTTGATCACGTTGTTTGCATCCTCAGAGTTTGTAAATGCCTTGAAAATAGGTACAGAACCAGGTGCCCATGCATTATAAATGTGTATACTTACATATAGACTAGAATTGCGTGTTTATCTTTGAATATGTATTTATATGTGTTCACAGATATCCTTTTATATGTTTTCACACATATGCATTCATATATACATATATATATGTGTGTGTCTTAGGTACAGTCACAGATGCCAAATAATTATTTATTTAACTGAATTGGGTTTTTAACTTTTTTTTTTTTTTTTGCTAACATCATCTACTTAAAATAACTGGTCTACACTGTTTAGTAGATTAATTGTTAACTTGTTTTGCTACCATGCACAGTAGCCAGTGGCATCTTCACAATTCTGCTGGGTCAGAAACTTCCTAGGTTTTAATGTCAAATACATATACTTACCCTAAGCTTTAGGAACCTAGAATATACCTAAACCAGATATCAAGGGCACTCTTTTCTGGTTGGCTTTCCTACTCTGATGAAAGGAACCAAATCATTAAAAGAGATTTGCTAAATTAAGGGGACTTTTTAATTTTATGCATATGATTTTATGATTTCATCTTCATGTCTGAGAATTTGCCCATTTTATGGCTTAGGAGTTAGGTTAACAGTATATAGGTATCTATCTTCTTAAAAAAATAAAAAGTTTGTACAGATATATACATATAGTAAAGTCTAAACACTTTGAAACACATCAGTATAGAATGTATAATCATTTGAAAATGATTAATGAAGATGTTTGGCCTTTTATTATCTACAAAGAAAGTAAAATAATAGTCTAAGATTGACAGTAATTGTAGTATGTATAATTTGATTACAAAAGCAAATTCACGTTTGGAATAATAATGAAATAAATTATTCCATTAACCTGGTGTTCTAGTTATAAACAAGCATTTTATAACACAAAAGCTTTCTCTTTATGTAAAAGAAATACATATTCACTAAAGAAATTTTAGCGTATACAAGTAAAGCAGAAAAAAGGAGTCCTGGTAACCCCCCAGTATTTCTATCCATATATTTTGGATTTGCACAGTGGGTTTGAGTGTGTGAGGGGGTGGGAGGACATAAGGTTTTACAGAGTTAGAACCATATCAAATTATATTTTCTAGTTGAGTGGTAACAACTCTCTGAAGTGTTCCTTCTCTGAGGAATTTTTTGTGTCTGATTATGGTTTAACCCACATTACCTCATTATATTCATAATATTTTGTTCTTAACTCACATCAAAATGGCGATGTGAGAAAGCGTGTTCCTATGTTCATTGTGCAAGCTGATCCATTATCCGCTTGAATCGAATTGAATATCATTATATTTGAGTGCTTAAATTTTCCTAAGGCTCTTCGTATCACAAGTGTCACCAGTCATACATGGTTCCTGATAGAGTATTCCCCTGCAACAACTGCAGGCTGTTCTAAGTTAGGGAATGTCCCTGTGGATAGTCTTCCAGGGTAGTCCATTCTTGAGATCTTTATTTTGATCTATTTCTTGTTCATTTATCAGTTAGGATTGAGTTCATTTTATGTAAAGGAACACAAAATAATAGTGGCTTGGGTACTTTTGTTGTTCTCTCCTCTGAAACAAGTCCAAGGTAGGCAATTTCATTCAGGTGAATTCATAACATGATTTCCAGACCATTTCTATCCTTCTATTCTGCAGTTTTTAGTGTGTGGTTTCCTTCTGCCAAGTAATTTCATGAGCCTCAGTGGTTGCTGGACCTTCGGACAGTTCACTGCATTCTAGGCAATAAGAAGAGAGCAAGGATACAAGAGAACTCCTTGAAGCTGAGTCAACCCTCTTCAAATAATTGTTCTGAAAGTCTCACTCGGCAACCTCCATTCACATCTCATTGACCAGAAGTTTGTCATGTGACCATACCTAGCTTTAAGGGAGTCTGGAAAAATGTAATTTTTTAGTAGGAAAATTGCTAACAAATAAAAATAGAGTATAGCTATTCAAAAAGAAGGCAAGGTGACTATCTTAACTACTATTTTTAAACTACATGATATACAACTAAGTGCAACCAAGTTATACTAAATTCTCACAAGAAGGACACATGAATGTTGTATGTTATACACATGTATTTCTAAGCCAATGGAGAGCTCTGGAAAAGAAAAACTCATTTACTTTCATAAATAAAAGGCAATTTATCAAGATAGGATCTTGAGTCATAACCATGACAAAAATCTCAATGCATTGATCCATTATCACTATATTCAATGTTTTAATTTTCATAAGTAATTTGTTTTACTTGTTATTTTTATGGTGCTTTGCTTTGCTGACTTTGTACTAAGAACATTTATAAGTACACAGAATTTGTTTTTCATTATTGTCTGCATATATTCTTTGTTATACAAAAGTAAATGGTATATAAAAGCAATTGTTTACAGTTTCCTGAATAAGTACTTTTAATCTAGATAGATTTCTTTCATAAGAAGTAAAGTAATTTTTATTGGTAACATCTAATACCTTTGCTGAGATCATTTTTTGAGGCAATTTTTGGCCAGGGCTGAGTTTGAACCCTCCACCTTCAGCATATGGGGCCAGTGCCCTACCCCTCTGAGCCATAGGCACTGCCCCCTTTGCTGAAATGATAATCAGCCTTTATACCCTAAGACATGGCACTAGAAATCATCCAAAGCAAATTGTCAGAAAATCTGCTACATTTTCTATGAGATATGTCTAAAACTACATGCACTGTATTCTTTCTTTTGAAATACATTTGAACAGAAATGGAATTAAATTCTGTCTCATGACTTAGGAAAAGAGTTGTCTTCATATTACTTATCTATAGTATGTTGAGAGTAAGGAATATTTGTTCCTTTTTTGCATACTCTAATATATATACTTCAGAAATACCTGGCTTACAATGTAATGCATAGAAGTTTGCAAAAGTGTTATAAATTTATTGAGTTCATTGGTATCACCTTACTACATTAGATATCTTTTTTTGTGTTACAATTATCCCAAAACTCAGTGGCTTTACACTAAGTTTTACTTACAGTTAAGTACCATTACTTAACTAAAGTTATCTAACTTCTATCTATCTTAACTAAAGTTATCTACTTATCTACTTAAAGTTAGATAACATTACTTATCTAACTTTCTGTAAGTCAGGAGTCTAGCTGAGTCCTGTGCTTTTACATTCCTCAGAGTTAGGACACATGATTTTATGGATGCAAATAAGAAAAAATACTTTCAGATTTGCCTCAGGTGAAAAATCATTGCAGTAAAAACACTCAGGATATATGCATATATATTTTTTCTCATCTTGATTAACTTTGTAGGGAATGTTTGCTTTCCATTTTTGTTTTTATTGCTGTATACACGAAATAATAGCTACTGTAGCAGTTAGAAGAGCATCCTTTAACTATTTCCTTAGTGCCAAATCTGAATAAGCAAAATAACCACAGAATAAATTCTACTAATAAGACTAAACTGTTATGAAAATGTCTATTTTGACTTGAATTTTCAGGAAGACCGTCCTTGAAATATGGCACTTAACCTAAGTAGCTATACCCCTAATATTACTGGGAGGCAAAATGATTTCTAATAATTGCTTAAGTGATAAAAACTGGCCTTGTTTATACTAAGAAAAAGTTTCTATTTGATGACCTAGAAATAGCTATGTTAAAAGGCTTACTCAATGTGTGCATTTAATATTGTATTATTTTTTATATAGTTACATCTCTTTCTCTCTCTCTCTGGCTATTTTTTGAAATAGACTAAGATGCTTAGTGAAGCAGCTGGAAAGAGGTGACGTTAATGTCGTTGACTTAAAGAAAAATATTGAATATGCAGCATCTGTGCTGGAAGCAGTTTATATCGATGAAACCAGGTAAGTGTTGACTTCCTCTCCCTTTTATCTTCTTGGCCTCCTTCCCCTCTTGGTTCCTCATTCTTGATGCTCCTTTATCTCAAACAGGAATTCAGCATATCTTTGTATGAAACCAGAATCGAAATCTTATTAAAATTTAAAAGGTTCTTTGTCATGGAGCACATTAACTGGATGATGATTCTCTGGGGTAAAAAATACACTTCTTGATCCAAATACGTTAATGTCATAAAACAGTCAAACACTAAAGATATAAAATATAACATTTAAAAAAATTAAAATCTTCTCTCCCTCCACCCTCACTGTCCTTAGGCCCTGACTTTTAAATGTCAGAGACACGTGTAGGCTTTTATTAGTTATCACTGACGTAAGGGTTTTCCATGCATTCCCACGAGAGGTATCCATCAGACTCTCCATGCAGAGCTCGCGAAGGCTACTGAGGGCCAGCCCTAACTGTGTTGTTTTGTTTTGTCTTTGGGGGACAGAATCTCACTCTATTGCCAGTGCCAAAGTCCCATGGCATCAGGATAGCTCACTGCAGACTCAAACTTGTGGGTCTCAAGTGATCCCCAGACTCTTGATTAGCTGAGACTATAGGACCCACCACCACATTCAATTCTTATTTTCTATTTTTTCAAAGATAGGATCTTTGTTTCCCAGACTGGTCTTAAACTCCTGACCTCAAGCAATCTTTCTGCTTCAGCCTCCCAAAATACTAGCATTATACGAGTTAGCCACCGCACCCAGCCCCCAGATGTGTTTTTGACCATCGGCCAAACTTAGCTTTATACTTAGCAGAGTGGTAAAGAGATTAGGAAAAGGGTATTTATTTGAAAAGGATTGTTAGCCTAATGCTGCAACTCTCAGCCAAGCCATTTCCTCTTGTCCCCCTACTAGGATATTTGCAAAATCCATGAAATTTGAACAATTGTGTCTTGGTGTTAGAAGAGTGAGACCTAAGCCTGATTCCTTGTCAAAAAATAACAACAACAACAAAATGCACAAAGAACCAGGCTGATTAAGTTTACCTGTGAATTTAGAGATCTAGGGATCCTGTTAGGGAGAGGTGCATTTCCAGAGTTTGAGATGGGAAAAGTGATGAGATTTTTCAAAGCCATAAGGCACACAGAGTAGAGGTCTCCTGAAGTACCAAAGAGTCCGTAAGCCAGGTGGTGAAAAGAGGCTACATGGGATGATTGATGATAAGATGGGAATTATAAAATTTCATCCGAAATAGCAGAGACCTATAATGCTCAAGGAAGTCTCTTGATGTGGCAAGTCATCTCTGAAGGACTCACAAACAATCCAGGAGGAGAAAATAGCCAGTGTTTGGGCATGTCACACAGATGACAGCAAAACCACCAATATAATTCCCTGCCTTTGACGTCACATTGCTGAACAATCAGAAGTAGGGGAACATGGAGAGGGCAGACACCACCAGCCCCTTCCCCTCTAGAGGTGTCCATGCCTGAGTCAGAATGGAGCTTGGGGAAGGTGATAAACATTAAGGTAGACTAGAGATCAAAGGTGTTTTGTTTTCTCTGTTATCCTGGATAGAGTGCTGTGATGTCATAGCTCACAGCAACCTCAAACTTTTGGACTTAGGCAATCCTCTTGCTTCAGCCTCCCAAGTAGCTAGAACTTGGGAGTGTCCTATGCCACTCCTGGCTAGTTTTTCTGTTTTTAGAAGAAACAGGTTTCACTCTTGCTCAGGCTGGTCTTGAACTCCTGAGCTCAGTCAATCCACGTGCCTCAGCCTCCCAAAGTGATAGGATTATCACTGAGCTACTGTGCCCAGTTCAAGTGACCAAAGTTTTATTTATCTGTGTGGACTTCACACACACACACACTCACACACAATTTTGCTTAATATGTAATAAATTCACATGGTTCAAAAATGCAAATAATGTAAAAAGTGCCCAATGAAATTCTTAGGTCCCCCATCCCATTCTACTTCATTCCCCCATATATATTTCTCACACAGTGATTTATTACTAATTTTTTTTTTTAGGCTGCATTTTGCTCTTTTTTTTTTTGTCACATACACATAGATCGTGAATAAATTTATGCATATGTGGGGTACAATGTGTTGATTTTATTTTACATGCTTTTCTTTCTCCTTTCATGGGAGGTAGTAAGTACATTATACAAATGGTCTTCCATTCTGCCTTTTTATTCACTAAACAAGAAAACTTGGAAGTCTTCCAAGATCAGATTCTGAACTTTTTGGTATCTGCCAATGAGAATGTTGTCTAATAACCAACAGAAAAGGCCATAGTGAGGGCTGGGCCACACAGGTGATTTTTTCTTAATCCGGGGACCAGAACTCCTCTTATGGAGCATGGTTTGGAAACACGAATTAAAGGGAAAAACAGGCACAGTTTTAGATCATGAATTCTGTCTAGAATTGTTTTTCTGGTTAACTTTCACTGAATTTATGTAAATGTCTGATTCTGTTAAGTGAGCAAAGATCCACAGTGTAAATTTAAAAAATTGGTTGTTCTTATAATTTTCTTGCTCCTTCATTTTCATGGGTGTTCTTCGCGTTCACAAGTTGACTGAACTTAACAGATTTAAGATTTCTTCCATATGTCCTGGAGCAGACATTTCATTTTATATTTATCTGTAATACTCAAAAACTTTTGCCCAAGAATTCTTTGTGGATGTCCATTATGGGTCTTATAATGGCCTGGTGTTAGCTATCTGGTTTGCCTTGGTGTCCTGGCTTTCATTTGATACGTGATTATATGTTATATTTACTCATTGTTCCATTGTATTTCATTTCCCTAAAAATTATGACTCTGTAGTTAGTTTGCTTATTTCCCTAACTCATTCAAACATATGTTACATTAAACCATAGCTCTTTTTCATATGAAAATTGCTCTTTTGTTAGGAAAAAGGGTCAAGTACAGCACTTAACTGCTTCATGATAGAAATATTTTTTTCGTTTTTGCTTCTTATAATGAGTCATCTCAGCTCTTAATACCTCATCATTTCTAACTTTTACTTATATGACACAAAACTTTTCATTCTTTTGTTTGATGCTTCCATGGAGCCGTGATTTTTAAATTAGATTAATAATAACGCCTAGAATTTGCATCATCTTCAAAGGGCTCTTGGCTTCATTATCTGACATTAATCTCACCACAATCCTATGCACTTGGCAGGATGATTATTACTTTCTGTATTTTACTAATGAGAGAGTTGAAGCTCTTAGAAATGAAATGGTTTGCCAAAGGTCAGAGAGCAAAGTATTGGCAAAAGTGGAACTAAAAACTAACCTTTGACTTCTTACTTAGTGCTCCTTCCTCTATAGATGGCTCTTCTCAGATAATTGCTATGAAACAGGATGGTTTTTAAGGACATCTGAAAGATTTAAATGACAATATATAATACAGTCCTATAGCAGTAATTATAAATACTGCAGCTAGTGCCAGCATGTATTAAGCACCTGTTACATGCCAAGAACTCTTCTAATCACTTAATATGTGCTATTTATTTAAACATGACAACAACCCCATGAAATAGAAATTCTTCTATTACCATTTTGTATATAACAAAACTGAGTCACAAAATAGATACATGGTGTACCCAAGAGAACACAAATAACTCACTGAAGAGTGAGATGATGGGTCTGGCAAACTGATTCTAGGGCTTAGGCTACTGGGCACCATTCTCATCCTTATCCTATTTATAACATTTTACTAAAAAGCGACTTCAGAAACTTGCTGAAAGTTTGATGAAAGCTCACATGCTGTCAGGGTCAGCAGACTCGGTGGTGTACGAGTTGTGTTGCATCTCTTCCCAATTCCGCCTTTAGTGATGTCATACTGGTAGCTTGAAATTGGCCACAGTGAGAGGATTCATATTACACATCAGAATTTTTTTTTCCCTGGAGAGCCAATTGTTAAACATTTACCATCACTCCACTGGTGATGAACCCTCTGAAGCTTCCAAGAGCTGTGATTTTATGCCCAAAATATCAGTTTAAGAAATTTTAGAGCAATAATGCTAAGGTAGTTTGATTTCCTGTGTACAGGGTGTCCATAAAGTTCTTGTGCAATGGAAAATACTTGTCTAGTGCAAATGTCCTTACGATAAAATGACATTGTATCTTCTAGGCAGATGCCCAATCC